GCTGGTATGATACACAGGGGGCCAAAAAAAAGTCATTTCGGCCGAGCCACATATCAACGAAGTTTTCGCAGCCCAGACAGGGGAAGTGGATATGAGTACCAGAGTGGAAGATACCCAAGATCTTCCTCTATAAGCTGGAGCACGCTGCCGCCAATCGCCTTCATGTACGCCAAAATATGAAGTCATCTCCAGTCGCGGCCTGACTGGAGAACACCTTTGGAATTCACGTCGCCTCCAAACAGCTGCGAAACTTCTTGAATGAAGTCATCCACAGATAGCTACCTGGAGGTCAGTACTCTTGATCTGCAAGACCTCCCACATCGACAGCTACTCTCTAACCGATACATAACGGCAAGCGTCGCTTACGCGTCTTAGGACATCATATCTTCACGTATTCGCCGAGGCGCGAGTTTGAATGGTATGGACCGGGGTACCTGGAAAGGGGAAGACCGATATTTTCTTTGTAGACCCCGACTGAAGGTGAGCGCTGGCGGTTACATCAAGTAACTCGAGAAGAATATCCTCCCTACATGTGGTCGCCCGTACCTTCTTGGAGACCTTGTGCTGCTACAGGTTTGGGTGCCACCACATGGAATCAAAGGGTTTTGGAAAAACTCCCGCCTACTCGGAATGGAAGAACGTTGAGTACCTGGAAAAGATCTAGTATTTAAGCGGGGGTCCTGAACTAAACCCCCTCAATTACTCGGTTCGGGCGGAGCTCAACAGGGTGGTCTACAGTGGCGGAGAAATCAACGATCTCGCTCAACTCCGGTACCCACTCACTTTCGCGCGGCCGAATCTCTCGATGGCGCTCCTCCAGAAGGCTGTGGCGGAGTATCATTATAGTATTTAATGTGCTCTTTAATATGGTAGTAAAAATGTCCGATAAAAATTTAATAAAGTGTAACTTATAGCGCCTTGAAAGTCATGGAGGCAAAATGACTTTTTTTTGGCCCCCCCTGTACAATGACTTGCAGGGGCTTGTTCGTCCTCGTCCAAGGTCAGGGGCGCGATTTCGGCGACCGGGGGGGGGACAAAGGGGGATTCTCACTTCCGCGCCCGACTAGAGAGCTCTTTCATGAGCAAGACAAGAGTTGACGGGTTTTACCATGGTGGCTAAACGAGCTTGCTCCAGGTTCTCAAATGTTTACAGGTTTCACAGGAACTTGTGAACCGGAACAGTACAAGGTAAAAAATGCTCGCGCGAAAACAGCGCAAGTCGGTGTTTTATCCTCATAGATGGATTCGGTACCAGGCTATCGTGCTCGGGAGGATGAAGCTTAGTTGTCCTTGGCGAGAGCTGATCAGGGACTACTAAGAGACGGCGCGCGTTATAGGCGAGCCATTTGACCCTAATATCGCCTCCACTTCGACTAGCATTATGCCTCAAAGCAAAACACCTGCTAGTAACTTAAAACCTGACTTATAGATTACAGATTACATTAGATTACAGATTGATATTACCCGTAAAATACATACCGTACGCCACTCCTGGGATGGTAACTGAGGCTTCAGCAATATTTGTCGCAACCACTACCTTCCGGGTACCGTGTGGAGTTGAATCGAACGCTTTCAACTGAAATAGTAAGGCATTATTTACTGGTGTTACCATAAGAGCTTTCGAACGACTACCTGTTCTCGTGGTGGTAACGCACCGTAGCAGGGCACAATCCACAACTTATCGACATTACGCATATTTGAAGAGGCATCCGATAACATTTCGCAGACCTGAAAATAGATAGATTCATTTGATTTGCCAGGAGCAAAATCCTCCCGAGCAAAGCAGCTTCAGTTCTGCGGAGTCGGTTAATCGGTTAGGCTGGTCCGGGAGGATAAAGCAAGGCTGAATTATTGACTTATTCTCATTCGCTGGACTATTTTGTTTTTGTTTTCGGCTTGTTAATGTTGTTTTTTGCCTCTTTAAATGCCGTAATGCATTTCCACTGATAATAAAATATCCTATTTCCTGGGGTATAGGGCCCAATTATTCGCATGGTAGCGAAAACGACGCGCAAAGTTCCTAGACAGAGCATCTTTTTATGCTGTTTTCTGCATAGCCGGTTTTTCCTCGCCTACAACATTTATTATTCAAAAATGATCACTCACATAAACTAAAGCTCTTTAAATATCACTTCAAGGCGCCTTCTACCACAGAAATAGAGTAATTGTAATTGTGCATCCACTGACTTGAGGCGGAGGTGGTTTAGCGGCAATTGGCATACTTACCACGCGCACGGTTGGGGCATCCTGAATCGGCTCCCGCCCAAGCCAACCAAGCCTTCTACCCTCCCGGAATGGTGTGGTACCAAATTCGTCTGGGGGATAAATATACAGACCTATTCATCGGCTAGCCCCAGCAATTCATTGTATACACCACATCGCATTCAATAAGCCACTACGATTCTGAATGGAAGTAGAATGCTTGCCGCATCCCAAAAAGGGATTGATCAACGAGAAGACTTTACCCTGCATGGTAAAAATCCTAATCTTGCAGGATTGTTACTGCAGTGTATTCCGGGAACGATATATATAGAGTTTGGCGCTTTCCACTTGCTTGGCATCCAGCCATCAAACTAGTAGAGTGAGGGGAAGGTTGTTCCTTCACTTACATGATCCATGTCGCTCCTCTAGCCGCATGACTCGATCTCTAATCCACTTAAAGTCCTTAATCCGATGAGAGCATACACATTCGTACAGCACGTTTTTTGCACATGTACACACCTTTAGTGTACGAACACTGTACAGTACGGTACGGGAGCTGTACACAAGGATTGTGTACACTTAGCGGTAGCATCTTGCTGTGTGACATACTAGGCCGCAGCCACTAAATCCATGGCAGAGCACACGTTCTGTACTCTGACATTACACAGCTGATCCAAGGGGATTATATTTATACGCTATTTCCCGATTATAGAAGAAAATGAAAATAGAAAGCAGAAGGCATTTGATGTTGATCATCAATCTCTTTTCAGAACGAGCCACGCATTCTATTTATTGTATTGTTCGGATTTGTAATGGCACCCGACCAGAGGACAAAAAGGATAAAGTTTTCGCCGTTAACGAATCCCTTTTTGAATTCAGAATCGTAGTGGCTTACTGAATGCGCCGCGCTGCTAACTGACTAGCAGGGGCCAGCCGATGTACAAATCAGTGCTCCTATACTCCGAGACAGATCTGGTACCACTTCCACCGCCCCCGACAGATGAAAGGCTTGGTCGTCCTGAACGCGAGCAGATCCAGATTTGATATAGAACCGCTATTTGATCCCAGAACCGCGCTTGTGGTAAGCGTGCCACTTCCCACAATCACCTCCGCCTCAGGTCGGTGGATGCACAATTATAACTGCTCTTTTTCTGTGGTATAGGCCCATCGAAGTGATTTTCAGACAGCTTCAGTCTATTTTGAGTGATCTAATCAGAATAACAACTGCTGTTAAGGCAAGGAAGATCAGAATATTCAGGAAACAGTCAAAAAGTTTTGCTTTGTTCAGAAAATGTTCATGTGCGCTGTCGCTACCACGCATATAAGTGGCTACCCTAGAAAATTGGATATTCATCCCTTTGTTTTCACATCACCGTCGCCTCTAAACTGGAGTACGGTCAAGGAATTTGACTGTGCGGAAAAAAATTACCGGAGTCGAGTCGTTGATGAATTCATAACACCCACGGACATTCAACAAGAGTAAATTTCAGGGTTCACGCTGCATGCCATCTCAGTCAAGCAAGTAACATGACCAGCCACTCGGCTGAAAAGCTGAGTGGTTGGTCATGTTACTGGAGACAAAGTTATCTGGTTAGGAATTAACAAAAACTATTCACCAGGGAAAATCCCATGGTGTACTGTCACTAAGTCAGTGGCCATTGGTGACGGTACTTACACTATGGTACTAGTTTTTAACGCCGGTATTGTATCCTCGTTCTAAATCTGCTAAACGACTCTCTGAACGAAGTTACGAAGGCTTTCCCTCCGCGTTTTCTCACACGCTACAGCATGGAAGCGTCCTTGATTCAAGGATGAGAGGATGCTGACCTGTGTGAAGGTAACAGTACTGGCCGTCTTCCATCCTCAAGAGGTCTCGCAGTTTTTAGCCGAGCCTTGTTTGGTCTCTCTATTCTTTGCCTTCGCCAGGAACATGGCTACAAAGAGTTTTAACTGCCGCAGGTACAACGCTCGTTAATAGCTGCCGGACCCTGCGATCTAAAAACGACTCACGTGACCACAGTGCATGTTACAAGAGTTTTTGCGTCATGCAAGTGATGCTGTCTGGCGGTCGTATTTAAGGTGTAAAGCCTGAATTTTCAGCCAAATCAAGGTTTCGACCTGAAGTGGAGCATCCATGTTGTGCAGATCATCACGCATTCATCCCTGTTCAGTTCTCAGTTACATTCTCCCCTTTAAAGTTCCATTTAGCCGTTTCCGACCTTCAGACGTTCGTTTTGTTACTGCATTAGTGTTCCAGATAAGTAGAAGTAAATCCTATCCCAAGTCCAGCCATCGATGATAGGCTAGCTCTGGCACCACCGGTGGCCCTCATGAGAATCCTCAACTCATTCAGTCCGCTCATGTGTATCCTCAACGTTAGGTTCATATTTCAGATTTTTCTAGGAAATTGCCGGCGAGGGTAATTCGGGCTCCTGAACACGAATATCACATCTATTTGCATAAAAACGCTCAAACCGGGTGTTACGAACGCGGCCACACGCCCATGACAACGCGCCTGTATACAGAAATCTGGGGAAAAAGTCCTCACAACTTCAGTGAAACCATTTCATAATTTTTATAAACAGATTCGAGATTGATGTAAGAAAACACATCTGGCGATATAGATCCCACCACGAAAGGCCACATATACGTGGAGGACATTCCTTCCGTCTGCTATTGATGTCGCTTCCCCTGTACGCCCTGCCACCTAGTCTCCGAGGCGTGGGGTCTAAAACTACAATCTGGTTTAACAATCGCAATAACGAGGTTATATATTCGTCTTCGGCCACAGTACACGAAATCAACTGAGCTACCACAGTTCCCTTGTTGGCAGGGAACAACGTAGCATTGACACGCGCTCATTTCTTTGTTAGTGTTGCTGTATACTATGGTACAAGTAAGCTTCAGCCACATGAAAATAACTTGTTTACATGAAGAAAATACTTCTTCAGTGCGGCCCGCTTACCTGTATAACCTCTTCCTGACCCGTTAGAAATACGAGAACATCACCCGGAATTTCATTTTTATGAATATCCAGCACAGTATCCACCGTAGCTTTGATGTAATTCGGTACTGATCTGAAAAGGACAAACTTTTAGGAACCGAAACATTCTCTACAATGCAAAATGGTAAAAAAGTTGTAAAAAGATGTTGGTGCAAGTCCGATAAAGGGGGGGGAGGGGCATTCGGAATAATTTTGCACGTTTATTAGCTGTCCCATCTTCGGAACTGTCGGCCATTTAACTGCATCGAAAGGCTTTTCCCGTGAGGAGGCGGTACGGCTAAATTGCTTAGAAAAACAATGTTTCTCTCAGGGATGCTTGGAAGCTCAGTTAGGCGACGAATGACACACGAAAATTGGCCGGTGGAGCGCCTGACATCGCCCTACTATGCGCCCGGCACCAAAAATGCTCGCGGCATTGGTGCTCACGGCGTGAATGCCAAGTATATTAGTTCCAATCGGATGTAATATTCGCGTTCGAGAGACCAAGTTCTCATGGGTGCAGACCTGAGTTTCGAAGAACGGGGAGCAAAGAGCAGATGTGCCTTACTTGTGCAAAATCGAAATGACCGTGATGGAGGTGGGCACTTTCACCTCAGCCTAGAGGATAAAAAGCTCTGAGGTATGAACCCATTTAAAGCATGGGTCAACGTAGCATTCGGCATCACAGTTCTAGCCCAGTCTTGCCACAAAGAGTCTTTTGCAATTTCATCCTCCATACACCCTATAACAATACCGTGGAAATCATCCAAGCTACCAAAATTTGGCAACTAACAGATCTAGTTTGAAGGGACGAAGTTCACGAGACAGGGGGAGAGGGGGGGGGGTTATATTAGAGATTTGACGTAACGTCAACCCGTACCAGTTGTAGCGAGCGAGCAAGTGACAAGAGTGAATCATATCGTTCGATCACTCGTTTCTACCAGGCGTTTTGGTATACCCGTTCACGACTGCACGCACGGATTTGGCGCCATGACATTCCTACTGCCTTACACGCCCCTTATCCGCCCAGCTAAACTAGAGTAACAGCATTGCCAGGAATATTGAGCCATTCAAATCCTTATAAGCTTCCTCTGCGTGGAAACATAAGGCGCTTCATTTCCAAAGGAGAAGGGGATGATCTCTAACCCAATAAATACACGCAAAGTGATCGTGAAATAGGACTCACTAGATTTCAACATGACAACTTTATATGGAACAAAAGTAGCATAAATTAAAAAAAATATGTGTCCAAAGAGAAAATGACCGACGTTTTCGTATGGTAGATCGTGACAGGATGAGTCCGCCCTTCGACAGACATTATACACGATGTGTCAAGATTATGGTCATCAGTTTCGTTCAGTTCGAAAAAGTCTCGAAATAGCTGAAAACTTCACATCAATGCAATAAGAATGAACTGACTCAGCAGAATCATCCAAACGAAAAACTTTGGAAACACTCTAACCTCAGCAAGTCCAGCGTAGCGATGACACTATAATGCGGAGATCAGGCCGTACTATTAGCACTTTTCGAAGAAGACCAAGCAGAATATCAGAATTACAGGTACGCTCATGAGCTTCATCGATCATTATAACACTGAAACACGCAAGTTCTTGATTATCAATCACATTCGCGGTTACGAAGGACCAACCTATATTTTGACAGGAGGGGATCTGTCAGTAACTCTCTCAAAAGGATTCCATCGGTCATATACTGAAAAGATCATTGTGATAATAAAAAAGAAAAAAGACATCGCAAAGCGGTGATTCCAACTGCACCCCAGTGTATTCTTCATAAAACTGACTAGCAACGATACACACGTTAGGAGGAATGGATCTCTATTTCCAACCATGTGACCAGCGTGGGTATGGGATGCTTGGCATATGAACTTATAAACACATCTCTACCTCTCACAGCGCGGAATCGCCTGAAGGGAGTGAATTACTTGTTTTGTTGTTCGACGCTGCACCGGGTGACGGGTCCGTAGTCAAGACGCAGAGTCGTGAGGCAACAGCGGGTACTGTAAATATGGACAAATGGTGCGAAGCAGCGTAGTTTACCACTGAATATACCTAGGGAGGGGCAAAAAATCACCGCCGAGTCACATATCAGCAAAGTTTTCGCTGCCCAGACAGAGGACGTGGATACGAGTACCAGGGCGGATACCCAAGATGTTCCTCTACAAGCAGGAGCTGGCTCTCGCCCATCACCTTCATGTACACCAAAATATGAAGTCATCTCCAGTCGCAGCCTGACTGGAGAAGACCTTTGAATTTCATGTCCACCTCCAAAACACCTGCAGAATTTCTAACATGTCAGTCATGGATAGCTACCCTTAGAGCACTACTCTAATCTGGATGACCTCCACATCGAGCAGTCTAGAATGAAAGACCAATATTTCCTTCGTGCCGACCCGACATAAGGTGAGCGCTGGCGGTTACATTGAGCAACTCGTGAAGAATATCCTCCTCACATGTCGTCGTCCGTACCTTCTTGGAAACTTTGTACTGCTACAGCATTGGGTGCCACCACATGGAATCGAAGGGCGTTGGAGAAACTCTCGCCTACTTGGAATGGAAGGGTACCTAAAGAAGATGGAATATCCAAGTAGGTCACCTGACCTGAATCCTTCGAATTACCGGTCAGCGGAGTTCAATAGGGTGGTCTACGGTGGCGGAGAAATCGATCATCTCGCTGAACTCACGCACCCACTGACGGTCGCGTGGCAGAATCTCTCGATGGCGCTCCTCTAGAAGCTGTCGGCGGAGTGTCATTGATAGTACTTCGATATGCTCTTCAAATATGTGGGTAAGAAAATGTTCATTAGAATTTATTGAAAAGTGTAACTTATATAGCCGCCTCGACAAGTCAATGAAGAAAAGCGACTTTTTTTTTGGGCCCCTGTACTTTTCAGACTAGGTCAACTCTCTTACAATGGCAAATAGGGGTAAAAAAGTTGGAAAAGATGTTGGTGCAAGTCGTATAAGGGGGGGGGAGGGGCATTCGGAATAATTTTGCACGTTTATTAGCTGTCCCATCTTCGGAACTGTCGGCCATTTAACTGCATCGAAAGGCTTTTCCCGTGAGGAGGCGGTACGGCTAAATTGCTTAGAAAAACAATGTTTCTCTCAGGGATGCTTGGAAGCTCAGTTAGGCGACGAATGACACACGAAAATTGGCCGGTGGAGCGCCTGACATCGCCCTACTATGCGCCCGGCACCAAAAATGCTCGCGGCATTGGTGCTCACGGCGTGAATGCCAAGTATATTAGTTCCAATCGGATGTAATATTCGCGTTCGAGAGACCAAGTTCTCATGGGTGCAGACCTGAGTTTCGAAGAACGGGGAGCAAAGAGCAGATGTGCCTTACTTGTGCAAAATCGAAATGACCGTGATGGAGGTGGGCACTTTCACCTCAGCCTAGAGGATAAAAAGCTCTGAGGTATGAACCCATTTAAAGCATGGGTCAACGTAGCATTCGGCATCACAGTTCTAGCCCAGTCTTGCCACAAAGAGTCTTTTGCAATTTCATCCTCCATACACCCTATAACAATACCGTGGAAATCATCCAAGCTACCAAAATTTGGCAACTAACAGATCTAGTTTGAAGGGACGAAGTTCACGAGACAGGGGGAGAGGGGGGGGGGTTATATTAGAGATTTGACGTAACGTCAACCCGTACCAGTTGTAGCGAGCGAGCAAGTGACAAGAGTGAATCATATCGTTCGATCACTCGTTTCTACCAGGCGTTTTGGTATACCCGTTCACGACTGCACGCACGGATTTGGCGCCATGACATTCCTACTGCCTTACACGCCCCTTATCCGCCCAGCTAAACTAGAGTAACAGCATTGCCAGGAATATTGAGCCATTCAAATCCTTATAAGCTTCCTCTGCGTGGAAACATAAGGCGCTTCATTTCCAAAGGAGAAGGGGATGATCTCTAACCCAATAAATACACGCAAAGTGATCGTGAAATAGGACTCACTAGATTTCAACATGACAACTTTATATGGAACAAAAGTAGCATAAATTAAAAAAAATATGTGTCCAAAGAGAAAATGACCGACGTTTTCGTATGGTAGATCGTGACAGGATGAGTCCGCCCTTCGACAGACATTATACACGATGTGTCAAGATTATGGTCATCAGTTTCGTTCAGTTCGAAAAAGTCTCGAAATAGCTGAAAACTTCACATCAATGCAATAAGAATGAACTGACTCAGCAGAATCATCCAAACGAAAAACTTTGGAAACACTCTAACCTCAGCAAGTCCAGCGTAGCGATGACACTATAATGCGGAGATCAGGCCGTACTATTAGCACTTTTCGAAGAAGACCAAGCAGAATATCAGAATTACAGGTACGCTCATGAGCTTCATCGATCATTATAACACTGAAACACGCAAGTTCTTGATTATCAATCACATTCGCGGTTACGAAGGACCAACCTATATTTTGACAGGAGGGGATCTGTCAGTAACTCTCTCAAAAGGATTCCATCGGTCATATACTGAAAAGATCATTGTGATAATAAAAAAGAAAAAAGACATCGCAAAGCGGTGATTCCAACTGCACCCCAGTGTATTCTTCATAAAACTGACTAGCAACGATACACACGTTAGGAGGAATGGATCTCTATTTCCAACCATGTGACCAGCGTGGGTATGGGATGCTTGGCATATGAACTTATAAACACATCTCTACCTCTCACAGCGCGGAATCGCCTGAAGGGAGTGAATTACTTGTTTTGTTGTTCGACGCTGCACCGGGTGACGGGTCCGTAGTCAAGACGCAGAGTCGTGAGGCAACAGCGGGTACTGTAAATATGGACAAATGGTGCGAAGCAGCGTAGTTTACCACTGAATATACCTAGGGAGGGGCAAAAAATCACCGCCGAGTCACATATCAGCAAAGTTTTCGCTGCCCAGACAGAGGACGTGGATACGAGTACCAGGGCGGATACCCAAGATGTTCCTCTACAAGCAGGAGCTGGCTCTCGCCCATCACCTTCATGTACACCAAAATATGAAGTCATCTCCAGTCGCAGCCTGACTGGAGAAGACCTTTGAATTTCATGTCCACCTCCAAAACACCTGCAGAATTTCTAACATGTCAGTCATGGATAGCTACCCTTAGAGCACTACTCTAATCTGGATGACCTCCACATCGAGCAGTCTAGAATGAAAGACCAATATTTCCTTCGTGCCGACCCGACATAAGGTGAGCGCTGGCGGTTACATTGAGCAACTCGTGAAGAATATCCTCCTCACATGTCGTCGTCCGTACCTTCTTGGAAACTTTGTACTGCTACAGCATTGGGTGCCACCACATGGAATCGAAGGGCGTTGGAGAAACTCTCGCCTACTTGGAATGGAAGGGTACCTAAAGAAGATGGAATATCCAAGTAGGTCACCTGACCTGAATCCTTCGAATTACCGGTCAGCGGAGTTCAATAGGGTGGTCTACGGTGGCGGAGAAATCGATCATCTCGCTGAACTCACGCACCCACTGACGGTCGCGTGGCAGAATCTCTCGATGGCGCTCCTCTAGAAGCTGTCGGCGGAGTGTCATTGATAGTACTTCGATATGCTCTTCAAATATGTGGGTAAGAAAATGTTCATTAGAATTTATTGAAAAGTGTAACTTATATAGCCGCCTCGACAAGTCAATGAAGAAAAGCGACTTTTTTTTTGGGCTCCTGTACTTTTCAGCACTAGGCAAAATTGCGCAGTCGCCTAAAGCACCATTTATCACATCTAGCGGTACAGTGCAAGACGGTGGTACTGATGGAAACAGAACCATCCTGTCTTCCTCATAAACACGTCCTTCCTTACCAGATGGTGAAGGGGAAGGGCACACTCAGACAGTCAGTGGCTCCAGAAAGATATCAAGCAAACTTTCGTCTTGCTGCGACTTGAAACTGTAGGCGCAGACTGAGACAGACAAAGATAATGAGTTTTTGTGGTAAAGCCTTTCCACCCCTTCCCATATTCCCTTTAGATACACGCGGTGTACAGACATCGAGGTGCTCGCGTTTCGGCGATATCCCAAAACGCTGGGTTCGATCTCCGCAGTCGCCAGAACGAAACCTATACATTTCTCGTCGCGCATCTCTCAAATCGTCAGATCGCTCAAACCCCTGAATCGCCGGAAACACCGACTCTCTCGAATTGCGGGATCACTCAATCTCCGCAGACGCTAGATGGATTTTCTTCGTCGCGCATTCTTTTAAATCCCGAGTCTCCCATATCGCCAAGTCTCACAGACTGCCAACCTTCTTCCTCTAAAGTACGATGTTGCGACCTGAGGTCTAGTTCCCTTGGTCTTCGGTGCTTATTCCGCCGTTAAACCTTGAAGAAACATTTTGCACCTCTACTTCCCCTCCTTAGCACGCAACTTATACCTAGACTACCAGTAAATGTGTCTTAAGAAAGAAAAACATTGAATTTCGGCCATAAGTCAGTGTATCACGAGACACATTCACCAACACAGAATTCAACGAGGAAACGTCGTATGATGGACATGATTCACTACGGTATAAGCAATATGTTTCTTTTCTACTTTGCACTACCGACCTACAGAATACATAGCAAAAAAATGTTCGCTAATATCAATTAATGAATGGAGATAAAAAACCTTGATCTTCGTCTGGTCATCAGTGACGTCATCGAAGCGGACTGTGTAACCCACGTCCTGCCCGAGAATAGTCTCTTTCTCTTCCGCAACACGAGCCGCTAACTGAAAAAAGTCATTTAAGGTTCGGTTCAAACTCACTATTATACTTTACTTTCCGAGTACCTTTTGAGTAAGACATAGAAGATAAAAAGTAACGGCAGGCAGTATGACAGCATGAGGGTAGTCAAAATAATAAAACTCTTTAGACATACCGTAACAACCGCAACTCTTCCGAGGTTGAGTGATTCCGATCATCCGACCGTCACTGGCCCATCCTGCCTCCAAGAGGTACTGAGGGACCTATGAAATGAAGCTATCGAACTGAAGGACCTATGAAATGAAGCTATCGAACAAAAAAAAGATTGCTGAGTTTCAATTTCATAATGAACTTACCTGGGTACTTTTACCACAGCCAGTCTCGCCAACGATGATAACAGTTCGATATTTCTCGCATAGGTATAGAATATGATCTCTGTTCTGAAACGAGTTGATAAATTTCGGGACGATCCATGTTCCAACAGACCCTACTACTATCCCTGGGAGTCAAAAATCCTCATCGTTTTTCATGCTATCTATAGCCCGCGAATTTCTGTAGCAATGTATATTGTCGTTGAGCAGAACTCATCAGTAAGGGGGTTGCATTTGGTCGCTGCGGACGAAGGGCGCATTGAGTCTTGAGAGAAGTTTCCCTAGACTGCTAGCTTTTCCCATCTGACGAGCGCTACATACACTCTATATGGCGGTTAGAAACTAAATACTCGAGAGATTACCCTGCAACTTCTCGTCGGCAAAATTTTGGGCGCAACTTCGCGATGACAAAGTCTGGTAAGATGGCATGTAGGCTGTGATACGGATGTCGTTACAAAGAAGTATTTTTTTGGAGAGGAGAGGAGGTGTAGTACCGGTATTGCCAACTCTATCGCGAGGCCTACTAGCCGACGAACTTCGAAAGACCGACCGACAGCAGGAACTGGGCTAGTTCACTGAGGCTCAGGAGGTTCGTTTGAGGATAAAGAGGGCGAAAAGTGAAAAGTTGCCTGTAATCAAGAAAAGCCTGCCATCAGTCTTGTAAACTTCATCAGATTCGAACTCCGTTGATGACGCTCAACGAAGGCAGCGTTCAGACTTCGCGACGGCAGCCAGGGCACATCATTAGGTTGGGGATTTTAGTCGAATCCGTAGAACCCCTTCCCCTTTTGGGGGTCGAACGACACCCCCCGCCCCCCCTCTGGCCCTCTGCCCCTCCTATCAAATCGGAAACCGATCGAGCGGCATCAACTCCCACACTCCTAGAAAATTCAGAAGGTGAATACGACCTCCCCTTCTCAACAATGAGCAAGCAGCCCCCGCCTCCCACCTTCTTCACAACGTCGTTGAGCGAGAAAAAAAATCAACGCTAAATCAAAATAAATTCTTTCAACCCAAAATACGACCTCCTCTCCTGGCGGGCAAATAGCCACCCCTTCCCCCGTTAAGGGACTTCCCCAACCAGAAACCCAAGCTGCCCTGACGGGCAGCATTCAACCGTCGCGTTCCGGCTCGCGATCGATGCGCATGCTCGACTAAAGCATCGATCGCCGTCGACGCGCGACCGAATCGCTGCGCGTCACGAATCGTCTGAACGCTGCTTGAATGCTAGAAAAGTGGTCGGAGTGCCTCGATCGTTCTGAGTTGTTGAGGAATGCAAGCGTATAGCCTCAAGAGATGGCTGGTCGGATTCATGATAAAAACCTTTCTTCAATACCTGAATGCGAGTAAAATTAATCGCACAGCTGGAACTGCTATGAGAGGGGCTATGCGACTCTGTGGCGACGACCTTTTTCGCTCTACAGGCTACCAAATGATAGCACGGCAAGTATAATCTATCAAAACCTCACCTTATAAATTGGAAGCCGAGCTCGTTGTTGCTTCATGTTCAATGAGGCATAAGGATTATTATATACAGTCAACACTTCTTGAGGATCAGTAGATCCCGATGGCTCTGTCAAACGATCTTCAAACACCAATGGACCAGTACGTACTTTATCGGGTCGGTCATCTGGAAATGAGACCGTAAAAACTCATTGTCGCAGCCTAAGGTAGCCATCGCACGGCCTACCTAATAGCCCTCAAAAAAGGAGTGAATAGGAGATGTCCGGATGCCCACTCTCCCTCGCATACCGGTGGGGATCTATCTTTTCGAGGCCCTTGTGCGCTATCTGCTCGTTGACTGGTTTGCATAAAACAGAGGAGAACAGGGGTAAGTCGGCTAAGGAGGGATCACCGCAAGCCCTTCTGCGCAGAGGAGTTGACTCGCCCACCCAAAACACATCCATCATAGGTTTGCGAAAAATCCACACCCTGTCACGACAATCCCAATGTTGCTCAATGAGTCGTCTGAACGCCTTCCTTGGAGTTGGACTAGCGCCGAAAAAACAAGAGAACAATACTAGCGGTACAGAGGGTTGAATGGTCTCATAATGGACCAGAAAACGAGCAAATGGTCGCAGATCAAGTTCTTCAAAGGGTGGACCTCCGCCGTTATGGCGGCGGAACCCCACATCTCCCTCTCATAGTCATCCTCAAATGCTCTTCAAAAGACTCCAACCTGGTCGCATAAATTTGAAACGACTCCGTGGATCACCAGCATCTCCTCGTTCTCTGTGACCATGGCCAGGATGGTATTCCGGCATTCTGAAATCAAAAACATTTAAAAACACTGCCCAGTGAAACGAAACTATTCGCACGGTTCACCTGCTTCTAACAGCAATAGCTCTAGCAATAGTTTACGAGAAATTTGCGAAATGACCACCCGTATTGAAAGAAGAAAATAAAATTCGAATAGGAAAATTAGGCGTGACGAGTGCACACACGTGAAAATGCACAAATACGGCTGACGTCACTGGCTTACTAATCAGAGATGTGTTTTCATAAATTCCTGTCAATTCTATAAAGTCGTGGCTTCCTCAACTTCTGATTTGCCTTAAACGGTTGTGATTCTTTTGAAAGTATAATTCAGGTATTGAACGCTCAATATGATCTTACTTGAGCAGAACAATAGGATTATTAGCGAGTTGTTGGATTTGAAGTTCACTAACGCAAAAGAAGGGTATGATTTGTTTGGTATTTGTTGTTGCTGGACTATTGAAATCGAGACACTTTGCGTTGACTTGAGGAGTGGAAGCTAGGACTAGTCTTTTTCCTTCTCCACTGAATAACAATGTATTTCAATCTTTAAGTGGAAAGCCCGACAACGTTGACGCTAAATTTGCCGATTTTGATGGTGTCGTCTACCATGCTTCAAACCCGGATGGTGATAAAACCAAAATTCGTGTACGTTCTTCCAAGAATCCTCCATTTTATCTTGTGTTTTTCTCAGCCAAAAGCCATCCGTCCAGCTGTGAACTCTCGACAGCTATTGAATTGTAACATCGTTTCTTCCACTATGCTATTTATTACCTGCCAATATCAAAACTGCGATGTTAGGCGCTGATGTAGCTGTAGTGTATTGTTCAGTACGTCATCTGGTAAAGATACCCTAGCGTTCATTCCATGTTCAGACGCCCTTGGACATGTAATTCTGTCCGCCAGCATGGAGGATCCTCTTCGCAGCACAAAAATAGGCGGAGAAAGCGCGACCCGCTCGCTACGAGCCAAGGCCCCGCCCACCGGCGACGGCAACGCCCAATTTTCATATTTAATTGCTGTCTTATAGTGCAGTTGTTCCTTCACCAGTTCTCTCCATTTATTAGAATGTGAAGAGAAGGGAAGTAGTCGACACCAACAAAGGGTTACTCTTCCGACCACACTCTTTCTTTGCTTTATGTACGGTTCAGCATGGGGTTCTATATGGAGCAATTCCGGTAGGTTTTCTCTGCTTTTTATTCCCCTCTGAATCACCGAAACTACGTCTGCATCTCCCATACACCCACCCTCAGAACTTCTTCCATCGAATGTATTAGTTTAATTCATTGTGAGATAGAATTGTTCTGGGCGAAGTTCCTTAAGTTCTGAAAGACCCACTTTCTTGGGCTTCACACTTATCCCTGTGAAAAAGCGGCTCGGTGTTCGAATAAGTTTAATTTTTCACTTTTTGAGTATCGATTTCTAGAAGTGCATTTGAATAGCTAATATGATTCTACCTTGTTAAATGTTGCAGCTCTTACCATACCTTATTTGACTTGTTTTCAGTTGAGCATCTCACTGAAGTTCTTCAAAGAACTCCAGGAGCACGGTACAGATGCTGTGAGTATGCTTTCTTTTCATATATGTTATGTTCGACTGATCCTTGACACAAGCTTTTCCATGTTGCAGCTTCTTCGCCGGGAATACGGTTCATATCTTACTACTCCAGAACCTGGCTACAATGTGTCTTTGATTTTCGATCTCACCAATCTTCCTGCTGACCACAGTAATCTTAGTAAGTACAGTTTACTACCATATTGTTTCTTTCCGTAATACTGGTTTTGTGTGAATTTCATGGTGACAAGTCGTCGTTTTTATTTTGATTCGATCCCGTTTATCGATTTGTTCAGTTGAAAAAGCGTCTGCCTTGAAAAGGAACTGCTTCGCTTCTGTTTTTGAGAAGTATTTCGAGTTCCAAGAAGCTGGACAAGAAGGCCAGAAGAGGGCTGTCATCAACTACAGAGAAGATGAAACCATGTTAGCTTGTCTTTCACAATGGTGTTTCTTGTTTTCACTTTTATATGATAAATTGGTCTAGGTACATTGAAGCCAAGGCTGATCG